TACATCTTTTTTAATCATTACCGTCTTTTGCAGCGAAATCCCTCTTTTGCTTACTTTCATGACCAAATGAAAACTGTTCATCGTTTCTTCAATTTTATGCCCTATGACCCACTCATTTATTAGCATTTTACCTGAGTTTATAATTAACAGCAAATACAGTTATACAGATATGCCAACTGCCTACCCACCATAACCAAGAAATTATAATTTAAGTCCATACATTATGTGACCTTCCCAACTAGAGGATATAGTAACTCCCATTCCAAATCTAAATATTCTTTAGGTGATGTATTTAATATCATTTTATCCAAAACAGAATGACAATGGCCCATCATCCCTATTTTCTGGTATTTCTGCTCATCCTCTTCTGCTCGCATAGTTCCATCAGCCTTCAAGTATCTCCCAATTAAAGGGAAAAATTTCTCTGAACCTACACACCTTCTCCAGATTTTATGCAGTTTTTCTCAATCACTATTAAGAACTTCTATGAAGACTAATGTAAATTATTTCACTGCTTTATATCCCTTTTGATTCATGAAATTTAATTTTATCTCCAACATTAACATTTTTCACACTTCTTTTCTGTCTTCTCTGTACCTTCCTTATCTGCTTGTTCTTAGATTAATGGCAGAGTTCTAGTCTCCATGCTCTTCTCATTCTCTATCCTGAGTTCCTTTCATATATTTCCAACTGCCCATGAAATCTTGATGTGGTCATTGAGACATGTCAAATAAACTAATCATTTGTTATAATTTTCTCTAACCTTAATATGAATTTTAATCTCACCTTGTAGATAAAAATTTACCAAATTATTCAGTAACTGGAGGATCATGCTAGAAACTTCTGTTTCTTTCACTATTGCTCTAGAGCTAATCAATCAAAAATTCTCTCCATTTACTCCTTAATCTTTTTCTTCCTATACTCATAACCCATTAGTTCAAGCTTTAACCATATTCTTTGGATTACTATAAATAGGTTCCCTAGTAAATCCTCCAAATCCATTTCTATTCTAGGGTCTCAATTTCTTGAATCTTTTGTCTATCTATAACTATCATAATAATTTATTGAAAATATGTCAGATTACATTTCCACTTTTTTTTAATTATTATTATAACAGTTTTGTACATTTTTTCCCCATCTCAATTGTAATCCCCATGGGTTTCCCATCACCAAGTCACCCGTGCGCCATCACCATAATCCCGTGCACTTCCCCCCGTTTTTTATCCCATTCCCCACTCCACCCCCACAAAATGTCTCTGGTATATGGCTGTTCATTATTCTTGTTATTTTCTCTCCTGGTCCATTATACTCCTGCTATGAGTGAAACCATCCAATATTTTTCTTTCTCTTTCTGGCTTATCTCACATGATCTTTTCCAGCTCCATCCAAGTTGTTGCGAAAGATATTTTTTTTCCACTTTCTTATTTAAACTTTTCAGTAGCTTTTCAGTCACTTTCCAAGGCCTTTTATGATTCTAACTCAACAATCTCATTTCTTCCCTTCCTCCAAATTCTTTTTTTTAAGATTTATTTCTTCATACAGAATTGGGATACAGGCCAGAGATGCGGAGGGTGAGAGGATTCACCAGAGACAGAGCAGGGATCAGAACAGGCAGATCGATGAAGTACACTGCTGAGGGGAGCAGCGGATGGGTCAGGAGAGGTCTGCCACGCCATGTGGATCTCCTCCGGGGCAGGTGGGAATTAAACTCATGTGGAAGTAGCTTAAGATTCTTAGTGCTGTGCTTTAACCCGCTGCGCGACCAGGGAAGGCTCCCTCCAAACAAACAGTAACATTAACAATACTTTAAATTTATTACACATATATGTTCATGTGGTTTAAGATAATTTTACTTGTGCATGTGGTTCTCCTCTCCAGAACAGACTTTGAAGCACACAGCAATTAAATTTTTCTACTATCTTGAAGTGCAACCTGACAAACACTTCTTTTGACTACCGCTCCACAATCATCTCCTCCAGATAAACTTAATTACTCCTTCCACCAGGCTATACTGTTACTATTTTTGATCCTGCTTTAAAAGCTCAGAATTTTGCCATTGTTCATAATGGTACTAATGTATGACTTATGAAAAAATATAGGGGCCTTCCTGGTGATGCAAGGGGCTCAAGTGCGGCACTATGAAGCTATATACAACCATCGCAGCATGACCTCTCTTGTCCTGCCCCCTGTTCATTGCTCCCCTCAGCACTGTATTTCAGTCAATCTGTTCTGGCCCACAATCTGCCTCTGTTGAATCCTCTCACATCCCCTTCTCCCCCCACCTCTGGCCTGCACCCCAGTTCTCGATGATAAAAATAAAATCTTTTAAAAAAGAGAGAAATATATTACATTTAACATATATTACCCTAAAAAAAAGCATTTAATGAAGGCAAACAGGGAAAATATTGCAAATTCTGAAACAATGAATCTGAAATTCTTACTCAAGAAAAATGCTGTAATATTCAAAAGATAAAAACACCTAAATGCACAAAAAACAACAAAAAAAGATTTTCTAAAATAACACAGAAATTAAAAGCAGAATCACAGCTTTTGTAAGAATACACATAAAATACTTAGTACAGAGTCTGGAACAAAACTGTTACTGTTATCTGAAATTACTAGACTTGGAGTGGACTAAAAGAATCTAGGTCATAGTTACTTTCGGTTTTAATCCTAAGAAATTCAGATTCCATCAAAACTCCCAAATTTTTCAAGAATAAACAAAAGACAATTAAAAGTTAATTCTTATTAGGTTATTAAGCTTGGTAAACAATAACTACCATTTGTTATTTCATGAGTAACTAATTTATATAGTTTTTCTGTACCCTAGTAGAAATTATATCAAGAATTTCTGTTGAGGAGACTTAACAATTTCTTTTTTTTTTTTTTTTT